GCTCAGCAGACCGCCCCCTAGAGGCCATGCTGGGTCTGCGAGGAGGCTGCAGGCCGGCTGCCCGCTGTGGACACTGCCCCTGGGGTCGGCTCACCCTGATCTCCCCACCGGGCGGCTCCTCTCTGCACAGGGCGGGCTTCTTCCTGCCTGGGGAGGGGGTGGGCAGTGATCTCAGGGCCTCCACGAATGCCATCAACGAAGAGCTCAGAGGGAGTCTGCCCCAGGCCTGGCCTCCCAGGGCGCTTGCTACCAACACCGCCCCCCCCCCCCCCCCCCCCGGGGAGAGGTCTCTGCAAAACCAGAACCCTTCCGTTCCGATCCTCCCACGGGTACGCTGCCACTGGCCATGGACAGATGCTACAACAGCGTATCTGGCCAAAACCGGTTGGCTCAGTGGATAGAGCGTCGGCTTGGGGACTGAAGGGTCCCGGGTTCGATTCCGGTCAAGGGCATGGACCTTGGTTGCGGGCACATCCCCAGGAGGGGCTGTGCAAGAGGCAGCTGATCGATGACTCTCTCTCATCGATGTTTCTAACTCTCTATCTCTCTCCTTTCCTCTCTGCAAAAAATCAATAAAATACATTAAAAAAAAAAAAAAAAAAAAAAAAACACACACAGCCGAAACCGGTGTGGCTCAGTGGATAGAGCGTCGGCCTGCGGACTGAAAGGTCCCAGGTTCAATTCCGGTCAGGGGCATGTACGTTGGTTGCGGGCACATCCCCGGTAGGGGGTGTGCAGAAGGCAGCTGGTCGATGTTTCTCTCTCATAAATGTTTCTAGCTCTCTATCCCTCTCCCTTTCTCTCTGTAAAAAATCAATAAAATATATTTTTAAAAAAATAAAATAAAAAACAATAACAACAAAAAAAAACAGCGTATCTGCAGTGTGTGCTCTTACCAGAATACAAGAGAAATGTTTCTGCCTTGGCCGGTGTGGCTCAGTGGATAGAGCATCGGCCTGTGGTCCCGGGTTCGACTGCGGTCAAGGGGATGTACCTCGCTTGCAGGTTCCTCCCCGGCCTGGGCCCTGGTCAGGGCACATGCAGGAGGTAACCAATCGATGTCTCTCTCTCTCTCTCTCTCTCTCTCTCTCTCTTCCACTCTTCCTACAAATCAATGGGGAAAATATCCTCGGGTGAGGATTAAAGAAAAAGAGAAAGAGGATTATTTTTTCTTGGCCTCCGGGATGAGCAAAGGGAGAACGGCGTGGGGCTCACGGAGGGGCACACGGCCAAGGTCAGGAGACCTGGACTCGGAGCCCACGTGCTGCCCGCTCCCTGCCGACCTGGGCATGTCGCCCGCTGGCTCGGCCTCCCGTCCCTGCGACAGGGGCACCGGTCTCCGCTCCGGCCTCCCCGGCTGAGCCTGAAGGGGTACCTGCCACACGAGGGTCACATCTCGGGGGCACTGGCGCTCTGTCACGTCGAGGCCTAACCATTGCCCCCCCCCTGTCTCTCGGGGGGTGAGGGGGAAGGGAAGGTGTCCATCCCTGGACACTAGGAGGGGCTCATCTCCACTTGCCACTCAACAATAAGGTGACCAGATGTCCCGCTTTAAAAAATTGGGACTTGCTGAAACCGGTGTGGCTCAGTGGATAGAGGGTCGGCCTGCGGACTGAAAGGTCCCGGGTTCAATTCCGGTCAAGGGCATGTACCTTGGTTGCGGGCACGTCCCCAGTAGGGGGTGTGCAAGAGGCAGTTGGTCGATGTTTCTCTCTCATCGACGTTTCTAGCTCTCTATCTCTCTCCCTTCCTCTCTGTAAAAATCAATAAAATATATATATTTTTTAAAAATTGGGACTTGCCGAAACCGGTGTGGCTCAGTGGATAGAGCGTCGGCCTGCAAACTGAAAGGTCCCAGGTTCGATTCCAGTCAAGGGCATGGACCTTGGTTGCGGGCACATCCCCAGTAAGGGGAGGGTGGGGGTGGGGGTGGGGTGTGCAGGAGGCAGCTGATGGATGTTTCTCTCTCATCGATGTTTCTGACTCTCTATCCTTCTCTCTGTAAAATATCAATAAAAAAAATTATATATATATATATATATATATATATATATATATTTTTTTTTTTTTTTAAATTGGGACTTTTTCAAAACGCTGCAGGACACGGGACAAACTTAAAAGTCGGGACTGTCCCGCCAAAAGCGGGACGGCTGGTCACCTTACCACGTGGCGATGCACCCCGTCGGGCCTTGACTGGAACGGAAGTTATCGTTAAGGCTCGTTACCAATGAGGGGCCCCCGGTTTTACGTGGCTTCACGGGGCGGAAAGACTCTAACCAGGGCCGGGCCGCCTGGGGCGGAGATGTCACAGCCAGGAGGCGGCACCGGCCTCGCCCCTCCCAGCAGCACGGCGTCATGACCGGGCTCCTGGGGGACAGGTCTGTCCCGCCCGCTCCTGGCAGCCGACAAGTGACCCTAAGGACATGGGGACGGTTAGCGGGCTCCCGGGCAAACCGGGGGAAGTCAGGGTTGGTGCCGTGCACGACCCTGAGCCGCCCGCAGGGAGCCACAGGCTGCCAGGCGGGGCCAGTCTCCGCTGCCGACCCAGGTCACTGCTCTTAAAAGGAAGTAAATGGCCGAAACCGGTGTGGCTCAGTGGATAGAGCGTCGGCCTGCGGACTGGTGGTGGTGGTGGGGGGGGTCCCGGGTTCGATTCCGGTCAAGGGCACGTACATTGGTTGCAGGCACATCCCCAGTGTGGGGGGAGGGGGTGCGGGAGGCGGCTGATGGATGTTTCTCTCTCATTGATGTTTCTAGCTCTCTGTCCCTCTCCTTTCCTCTCTGTAAAAAAAAAAAAATCAATAAAATATATATTTTTAAAAAGAAGTAAATGAAAAAATGTGACATTTTTAGAGAGGAACAGAGAACACAAGCCCAGGGCCTCGTGACGCTGTGCTCTCCCTGCAGAGGGGCCCGTGGCTCGGGCTCGGGGCCTGGGCCAAGTTAGCGCTGGCTGAGCCACTGCCCGGGGTCTGAGCTCCTCGCTGCCACCTACTGGGTGCTTACCGAGCCCTTCAGGGACTGAGCAGGGGGACCCCGGGACGCAGCTGCCACCGTGGCAACAGCTCCGCCGTTTGCTACAGTCACTGGTTAACAAGACCCTCGTGGAGCCCTGGCCGGTGCGGCTCAGTGGATAGAGCGCCGGCCTGTGGACCAAAGGGTCCCCTGGGTTCGATTCAAGGGCACGTACCTCGGTTACAGGCTCCGCTCCTCCCCAGGCTGCGGGAGGCAACCCATCGGAGTGTCTCTCTCCCATCGATGTTTCTCTCTGTCTCTCCCTCTCTTCCCCTTTCGCTAAAAATCAATGGAAAAACAGCCTCGCGTGAGGATGAACAACAGCAACACAAGGAAGACCCACGTAGAGGTTTTAAAACCCAGAGCCTGTGGGCTGGGCTGCCTGGGAAGATCTCTGTACCCACTGCCGCCAGCCCAGGCCCAGCCCAGGCCCCGCCTGCAGCCTAGTCTCCAGCTCAGCCGGTGAGGAGCTGCCTCCTGGGCTCCGGGGTAGGGCGGGCCAGCTGCGCCCTGCATCTCCTGAGCGCTGTGTGCCGGCCTGCGGGGTCTCCGCTGACGCTGTGCCCCAGGCCACCGGCCCTCCCTCCTCCTCCCGGCTCCCTCCTCCCAGCTCCCTCCTCCCCTAAGCACGGGGCTCAGCTCCGTGGAGGGCGCCCGGGTCATGCCTTCCGGTGCCCGCCCTCCCTCGAGCTGTGTTAGCGTTTGCCCAAACGCAGCAGGGAGAGATCCTGCCCACGTGGGAACACCTTTCTAGGCGGGAAGTTCTCTCAGTGGTTCACGGAGCAGGTAAAGGCTCCCTTACAAAAGCCCACGGCCAGGGACTCAACCGTGGTGCCAGCCCGGCAGGCCCTGCCAGGGGAGGATGACCACTGAGAGGAGAGGCCAGTGGTGCCAGCCCCAGGCCAAGGCCAGCCTCCCTGGCTGAGCCTCCCCTCCCCCCTGGGTGGGTGTGACACCTTCCTCACCTGCCCGCCCCCAACAGAGGACCCCACCCCGGGTCCCAGCGGGCACCCCAACCCCAGGGACAGCCCGTGGCCCTGGAATCCCAGCTACAGGCCCCACGACTGGAGAGTGGCGGGGGGGGGGGGTCCCGGAGTCAGAGACCCATCCAGAGGGCTGTAGATGGGTGCCTGGGGCGGGAGGGGCTCCAACCGGCTCCTGCTGCATCCACGGCCACCCTCCCGGCCACGGGGCCACAGAGCCACGGAGCCAAGCCACGGGCTTGACCACGCAAGTGCATTCACATCCGATGCTGACCCAGGGTGCCAGGCTTCCAGCCTGTCGGCAGGGACTCTGCCGGGGCTGGATTGAAACACTCAATCCCGTGCGTGTGTTTCACTGAAGGAGTGTTTATTAAGCACCTACTGTGTGCGAGGCGCCCTCCCTGCGTGCTGTCGTGCCACGGAACAGCCGTTTGCTCAGAGAATGAAACCAAGGACAGGAGTGTGGTCACAGCCTCACAACCGGGGCGGGATGAGGGGGCAGAGGGGGCAGAAGGTCCCCGAGCTACGGGGAGGGAGCTTTTACCTCCACGGCGGCCACACTCGGGCGCCTGGGGGACATCCCGATACCCCGAATGCCGTTCAAAAAAAAAACAACAACAAAAAAAAACAACCAGGAGGTGTAAAGGATACTCACATTTGGATTAGAAAACTCATTTCAGCTCATGGGGCTGCAACAACCCTTAAGAAAGATATAAACATCCCTGCCCTGACTGCGTAAACGTTTAAGGTAGACCTCGTCTGGATTCCTGAGTCAGAATCTTCCAGGGTGGCCCCGGCCTTGAAAAGGACGGAGGAGCGAGAGGAGACCGCGATCCCGGAGGCGGCAGCGCGTAGTAGGGGGCGCGGCGGCCTGGGACCCGCGCCCCGGCCGCGCCCGCGGGGACAGAAGCGACGCCGGCGGCCGGCCGGACGCGTCCGCGGCCCCGGCCGCCCGCGCACACACACCTGCGGCTCCCGGGGCGGGCCGGGGGGCCGGGAGCCCTAGTTGTCGGTGCCCAGCTTGGAGAGGCCGCGGCGGAAGTCGTGCAGGTCGTCGATCTTGCCGTCCAGCACCTCCAGGAAGTTCTTCAGCTCCACCTTTAGGTGGCGCTGCCGGTACTTGCTCTCCTCAATGTCCATCTTCAGGGAGCGCACTTTGTCCTCCAGGTTCTGATTGTCTTTCTCGGCTGCCTGAAGCAAAAGCAAAGGAGAGGGGTCTGGGGAACGTGGGGGAGACGGGGGGGGGGGGGGGAAGAGGAGGGGGCGCGGAGACCTGCTCCGGCTGCACCCCAGACCCGTTAGTTCCTCAGGGCATCTCAGCGGGTCCTTCTTTCCTGCCTGACTGTCCCTTTCACCAGCGCGCAGCATTGCCAGCCCCAGGCCCAGACGGTCAGCGGATGCCCACTCAGCTCCATTTTTTAAAAAATATATATTTTATTGATTTTTTACAGAGAGGAAGGGAAAGAGATAGAGAGCTACAAACGTCGATGAGAGAGAAACATCGACCAGCTGCCTCTTGCACACCCCCTACCGGGGATGTGCCCGCAACCAAGGTACATGCCCCTTGACCGGGATCGAACCTGGGACCCTTCAGTCCGCTGGTCGACCCTCTATCCATTGAGCCAAACCGGTTTCAGCTATATAGTTTAAGTTTAAAAAATGTGGCTCTCAAAAGAAATTTCAGTCGTCGTCCTGTTGATATTTGGCTCTGTGGACTAACGAGTTTGCCGACCACAGGCCTAACCCTAACCAGCTGCTAAAACTGGGGCTGCCCACATGAATATAGGGCTCCTGAAGGGAGGAGAGCCTGGAGGTAGAGGAGGAGGTTAAAACCCTCCTTTTGTGATCAGAAACCTGAGGCCAGCCCGGCCAGTGTGGCTCAGTGGTTGAGCACTGACCGAGGAACCTGGCAGTTATGGCTTGATTCCTGGTTAGGGCGCATGCCCGGGTTGCGGGCTTGGTCCCCCAGTGTGGGGCGTGCAGGAGGCAACAGATAAATAATTCTCTCGCATCTCTCTCTCTCTCTCTCTCTCTCTCTCTCTCTCTCTCTCTCTCTCTCTTTCTCTCTTCCTCTCTGAAATAAATTAAATTTTTAAAAAAATCTGAGGCCAGTGAGGGGGGGTCTACCCCAAGATAGCGTGTAAGTTCACGGCTGGGGAGTGAAGAGGGGGGACAGCATCCGGGTCTTACACCCTTAGCCCTTCCTCTGCCCCCACTCCTCACCCCTCTGCGGGTCTGCAGGGGCTTCTGTGGGCGGGAAACGGTTGGTTTGTGGCACAGGACACCTTCGGTAGGTGGAAAAGCCACAAGACAAACGCTGCTGAGCCTTTTTGGGGACGTGGGGGTGGGGAACCCCCCTCAGGAAGAGTCACATGACCAGTGCCTTCTCATCTGCGCCTCCTGCCCTTACCTCTAGCTTCTCAGAGACGTATTCACACTCTGACATGAGCTGAGGTATGATTTCGCTCTGTTTCCGGAGATCTTTCAACTCCTGGGGGAGAAAGAAGTTTGAAAAAGAATGTGAAGTCAAGTCAGATGAGAGGCATAATCTTTTTAAAAAATATATATATATTTTATTGATGTTTTTACAGAGGAAGGGAGAGGGATAGAGAGCTAGAAACATCGATGAGAGAGAATCATTGACTAGCTGCCTCTTGCACACCCCCTATGGGGGATGTGCCCGCAACCAAGGTCCATGCCCTTGACCGGAATCGAACCTGGGACCCTTCAGTCCGCAGGTCGATGCTCTATCCACTGAGCCACACCGGTTTCGGCAAGAGGCATTCTTGAACCCCCCCCCCACCACCACCACCTGGGCCCCCACTTGGATATCTTGGAACGGAAGCAGCTTCTGGAACCCATGCTATCTGCACAGCTAACAAAGGTGAGGACTAACACTGAGCCCTTCCGATAGCCTAAGGGCGGAGGGCAGAACACGCACAATCGCATGAAGTCGGCACATCACCACGGCGGACAGGTCTCCTTATGCTTCGTGCTTTGTCGGTGGGGAAACTGAGGCTGGGAACAGTTTGGCAGCCTGCCCGTGGACTCCAGCCTCTGTGTACTTAGCAGTCCAGCCCCCCTTCCATCTCCCCCTCCCGCCCCCGAAAACCAATGGCTACGATTGCTGGCTCTCACTGCACTCATCTGACAGCAAGTTCAGCTTCTGATGACAGACTGTCTAAAAAGTTCCCAAGTAGCCGAAACCGGTGTGGCTCAGTGGATAGAGCGTCGGCCTGCGGATTGAAAGGTCCCGGGTTCGATTCCGGTCAAGGGCATGTACCTTGGTTGTGGGCACGTCCCCTTGGGGGGGGGGGTGCAGGAGGCAACTGATCGATGTTTCTCTCTCATCGATGTTTCTAACTCTCTATCCCTCTCCCATCCTTTCTATAAAAATAAAAAAATATTTTTTTAAAAATTAAAAAATAAATAAATAAAATATATTAAAAAAAAAAAAAAAAGTTCCCAAGTGACTGGTACAAAGTTCGAAGTTCAACTCCCTCTTGGATCGGGGTGGCTGACCACACAGCACACACAGTGAGGAGGCTGTAGTGTCTGCGCCCTGACGTGACTCTGGGCTCTGACTCTGCCCGTGTCCAGGCAGCTGGTGGGGCCGTCACGTGCCCAGTCACCTGCCGTGCCCGCGGGGAGAGCTTGCCCGCAGGCCCAGAGGACACGGGGGGGAGGAGGGGGCATCTGGGCTGTTACTCACCGAGTCCTTCTCTCGGAGCTCGGATTCCAGATCCTCGATCCTCCGCTTCAGCTGGATGTTCTTCTCCTTCTCTCTGTTGATTTCGCTGCACTGCTCTTCCAGCTCGTCAATCTGGGGGGAACGTCACACGTGAGGCAGGGGAGCTAGTTTGCTTTGGTCATTAAACCAAAGAGCGAAACGGTGCTGTTTATGCTTCCTTCCTTCCTTTCTTTCTTTTAATTTTTTAAATATATTTTATTACTTTTTTTACAGAGAGGAAGGGAGAGAGATAATCAGAAACATCGATGAGAGAGTCATTGATCAGCTGCCTCTTGCACACCCCCTACTGGGGATGTGCCCCCAACCAAGGTACATGCCCTTGACCGGAATCGAACCCGGGACCCTTCAGTCCGCAGGCCCACGCTCTCTATCCATTGAGCCAAATCGGTTTCGGCTCCTTTCTTTTATAAAAAAAAATCTTTTATTGTTGAGATTATTACAGATGTCCCTCTTTTTCCCCTCCCCTAAAATAGAATCTTTCTTTTTTTCTTTCTGCTAATCCTCACCTGAGGATATTTTTCCATTGATTTTTCAGAGAGAGGGAAAGACAGGAACATGGATTGGGTGCCTTCTGTATGTGTCCCAACCAAGAGCCAGGTCAGGGAGAAGCCTGCAACCAAGGTATGTGCCCCTGACCGGAACTGAGCCCAGGACCCTTTGGTCCGCAAGCCGATGCTCTATCCACTGAGCCACACCGCTAGGCTTATGATTTATTTATTTATTTATTTATTTTTTACTGAGAGGTAGGGAGAGGGATAGAGAGTCAGAAACATCAATGAGAGAGAAACATCAATCAGTTGCCTCCTGCACACCCCCCCACTGGGGATGTGTCCGCAACCCAGGTACAAGCCCTTGACCGGAATCGAACCTGGGACCCTTCAGTCCGCAGGCCGACGCTCTATCCACTGAGCCACACCGGCTAGGCCTATGCTGTCTTTTAAAATTGCCGAGACCGGTTTGGCTCAATGGATAGAGCGTCGGCTTGGGGACTGAAGGGTCCCGGGTTCAATTCCAGTCAAGGGCATGTACCTTGGTTGCAGGCATATCCCCAGTAGGGGGGGGGTGTGTGCAAGAGGCAGCTGATCGATGACTCTCTCTCATCAATGTTTCTAACTCTCTATCTCTCTCCCTTCTTCTCTGTACAAAATCAATAAAATATATATATTTAAAATAAATAAATAAATAAAATAAAATAAACGTAAAACTAACCCACTTGTGTTTCTCAGAGGCTACCCTTGAACTCCGGAGGGACTGCCGGTCCCTTTTGGCAGGAAGTGCCTCCTCACTCACCAGCAGCAGCGCCCACTGAGCCACACCGCCCGGCCTTCGGGTGCCCCGGGCTCCTGGCTGCTCTCGGGGCCACAGGACAGGCACTGCAGGTTTGCTTTAAGGATTTGTCACGAGCAGGATCTACCTGCTTCTCCCCGGAACATCTTTTTTTTTTTTTTTTTTTTTTTAAATCAGCATAGAAATTCATTCCATTTCCAGTGATTTTTACATCGTTTTAATCACTTCCTAAATTATTCCGTTTCATGGGTCTAAGCCAGCGGGGTGAACAGCAGAGCCCTGGGGGGCAGGGGCCACCAAGCGGGACGTGATGACATTTCAAACGTTTTAACTCGGGTCGACCTTTCCCTCGCGGTGCACAAGGGAGCCTGGCCTGCAGGCCTCTTTCTGGAAGTGTGTGTGTGTATGTGTGTGTGTGTGTGTGTGTGTGTGTGTGTGTGTGTGGAGGGGGGGGGGAGGGGGCAAATTCCCAGGGTGCACCTTTCTCTCCCTCCCCAGCCTGCTCTCTCAGAGGAACAACCAAGGCCAAGGCCGGAGTGTGTGTGCAGAGTGAACGGCAAGAGGGGGACCCACGTGCAGCACAAAAGCGCCGAGTTGCCGAAACCGGTGTGGCTCAGTGGATAGAGCGTCGGTCTGCGGACTGAAGGGTCCCGGGCTCGATTCCGGTCAAGGGCATGTGCCTTGGTTGCGGGCACATCCCCGGTAGGGGGTGTACGGGAGGCAGATGATCAATGGTTCTCTCTCATCGATGTTTCTAGCTCTCTATCCCTCTCCCTTCCTCTCTGTAAAAAATCAATAAAATATATTTTTTTAAAAATGCACTGTGTGGATGGGGTTCCCGCAAGCGGGGGATGCGCTGTGAGGACTCTGCCCAGAGGCGGGGCGCACCCCAGCCAAGGAGCCCCCTAGCGGGGAACGCTGATGTGCCCTTTGGCGAGCACTTCCTGCGCCCGCCCTGCCCTTGGGCATGTACTCTCAGGCACAGAGAGAGCTGGGTGCTTTGCTTGGAAAAAGAGAGAGCGGGCCATCCATCAGCCGGCCTGGGAAGGGGCCATGTGGAGTCAGCACCTGGCCCGGTGCCCCTCGCCGTCAGCACTGTGGGCACCGAAATGAAAAAGCGACACCAGGCAGTGCCATCTGTGCCACGGAAGATGGTGAGACAGTGTCCTCCACTGGCTCCCCGCAGGTCAGGGGGCCGGGGAGAGTGAAGGCCAATGTCAAACGCTGCGTCCCCCTGTTGAGCCCACGGCCTGTATACGTGCTGACCGTTAAAACGTGGTCAGCGCTGCAGGCGTGGCTCAGCGGTTGAGCATTGATCTAGGAACCGGAAGGTCAGGGTTCGACTCCCGGTCAAGGGCACAGGCCCGGGTTGCAGGCTTGATCCCCAGTGGGGGGGGGGAGGGGGCGCGTGCAGAAGGCAGCTGATCAATGATTCTCTCTCACCATGGATGTTTCTCTCTCTCCTTCTCCCTTCCTCTCTGAAATCAATAAAAATATCTTTATATTCTCTCTCATCGATGTTTCTAACTCTCTATCCCTCTCTCTTCCTCTCTGTGAAAAAAATCAATAAAATATATTAAAAAAAAAAAAAAAAAAAGCCGAAACCGTGTGGCTCAGTGGATAGAGCGTCAGCCTGCGGACTTTAGGGTCCCAGGTTCGATTCCGGTCAAGGGCATGGACCTTGGTTGCGGGAACATCCCCAGTAGGGGTCGTGCAAGAGGCAGCTGATCAATGATTCTCTCTCATCGATGTTTCTAGCTCTCTCTCCCTCTCTCTTCCTCTCTGTAAAAAATCAATTAAATATATATATATATATATATATATATATATATATATATATTTATTTATTTTTTAAATCTTTATTAAAAAATAAGGTAACGCCGAAACCGGTTTGGCTCAATGGATAGAGCGTCGGCTTGGGGACTGAAGGGTCCCGGGTTCGATTCCGGTCAAGGGCATGTACCTTGGTTGCGGGCATATCCCCAGTAGGGGGTGTGCAAGAGGCAGCTGATCGATGACTCTCTCTCATCGATGTTTCTAACCCTCTATCTCTCTCCCTTCCTCTCTGTACAAAATCAATAAAATATATTTAAAAAATAATAATAAGGTAACAAATCAGTGATTGAAGCAGAGGGAGGTTCAGATGGGGAGCCAGCCAGGCTCCCTGCTGGGGAGAAGGGGCCCCGGCCGCCCCTCCCGCGGGCTGTGCCCCCCAACCCCCCCCCCCGCCCGCCCGCCCCCGGGCCCACCTTGTGCCGCAGCCGGTCGTTCTCGTCCCGGCAGATGGAGAACTGCCGCTTCCACTGCTCCACGCTGGTGGCGGACTCCTGCAGCGCCGCGGTCAGCCGCGCGTTGCTCTCCCGCAGGGTCTGCAGCTCGATCTCCCATTTCTTCACGTTGGCGGCACTGCAAGGCGGGGGCCGGGGGGTGACCCGAGGGGGCCGGCCGGGGGAGCGAGGGCCAGAGGGACCGGCCTGTCTTGTGTGGACCCATCCCCCTGCTGGGCTGTTTCCCTAAAAGAGTCCCTTTAGAGCCCCGGCCAGGGTGGCCCAGTGGGTAGAGCGCCCGCCGGCCTGCGGCCCAAAGGGTGCCGGGTTTGATTCCGGTCAAGGGCATGTGCCTCGGATGCAGGCTCCTCCCCGGCCAGGCCCTGGTCGGGGCTCATGCAGGAGGCAACCCACTGATGTGTTTCTCTTACCCTGATGTTTCTCTCTGTCTTTCCCTCTCTCTTCCACTCTCTCAAAAATCAGTGGATGATAATAATAATAATAATAATGATAATGCCTTAAAAAAAAAGAAAATAAAAATCAATGAAAAAATAGCCTCAGGTAAGGATTTTAAAAAAGAATCACTTTAGAAATGAACAGAATTCTTAGAGAAGGATTCAAGCTCAGAGTCAGATCCCGTCCCTCCTGGCCCCAGCGGACCCGCACACAGGAGAGCCGCTTCCCCCCTGAAATGAGCCTCCTTTTAGGAAGTTCTGAAGTTCTGGGCTGCCGGGGCCTCAGAGACCTCACGAAAGCTCCTGGGCCCTTTCAACAAGTTCCTGACACCTATTTTGGAGCCAACACACACACACACATACACACACACACACGCACACTCACACACTCACACACACACACACACACACACACGCACACACACACACACACTCTCACACACACGCACACTCACACACACACACACACACACACACACACTCTCACACACACGCACACTCACACACACACACACACACACACACGCACACTCACACACTCACACTCACACACTCACACACACACACACACACACACACACACGGACACACGCACACAGAGACACACAGACACACACACACAGAGACATACACTCACACACAGACACACACACAGATAGACACACAGACACACACAGAGACACACAGACACACACGCAGACACACATACACACACACACACCCCAGATTTAAAAGCAAATAGGTGATAACGGTCCCACTCTCACTGGTCCCTCCTTAAGGCCTCTGAAGCAGGTGGGCAGCATAGTAAGTCCAGGAAACCATCAGGCTTGGATTCCAAATTCAATAAATCCAGGAGCTTTTTGAAAAATTTACCTGCAGTGAATTCTATGAAGCGAATGAGGCTATAAATATCCCAACGGCTCTTGGCAGAAAAAGGGCCCCCCAGCCCTGGCATCGAAAGGAATCCAGATTTGAGAGGACGAGGGCAAGGAGACCAAGACTGGGACTCCGCTGAGGGCAGAAGTGGGGTTCTAACCACAGGTCTGAGGGACCCTCTCCGGTACCACATAAACCCTGAGTTCAACTTTTTGTTGTTGTTGTTGTTGTTGTTGTTGTTGTTAATCCTCACCCCAGCATATCTTCCCATTGATTTTTAGGGAGCGTGGAAGAGAGAGGGAGAGACAGAGAGAAACATCGATGTGAGAGAAACACATCGATGGGTTTGCCTCCTGCATGAGCCCCAATCAGGGCCCGGGCTGGAGAAGAGCCTGTTACGAAGTACCTGCCATTGACCAGAATGGAACCCAGGACCCCTTGGTCCGCAGGCGGATGCTCTATCCACTGAGCCACACTGGCCAGGCCCACGTTTATCTTTGACCCTACACTTTCAGGGAGGAAATTTCAGAAAACAAAATTGAGTCGGGCTCCCCAAAGAGGCTGTTTGGTTTGCAGGCTCCCTGGTTTCCCTGCTGGAGCCCCGGGATCTGTGGTCCGAACATCTCGGGTGATTGGCAGATGTTCTTGCACCCCGAGTTGTCAGAGTCTGGGCTCCGGCTTAGCGCCCCCTGGCTGAGGGGAGTGCTGCGTCTAACAGCTTTTTATTTTTTATTTTATTTTTAAAATATATATTTTATTGATTTATTACAGAGAGGAAGAGAGAGGGATAGAGAGTTAGAAACATCGATGAGAGAGAATCATTGATCAGCTGCCTTCTGCACACCCCCTACTGGGGATGTGCCTGCAACTAAGGAACATGCCCTTGACCGGAATCGAACCCGGGACCTTTCAGTCTGCAGGCGGATGCTCTGTCCACTGAGCCACACCGGTTTTGGCCTAACAGCTTTTTAAACAGTAAATGCAGCTGTGTCTGGATAATCTGCATTCTCTTTCATCCCACAGCCTCAAGGACCCGGGACAGTGGTAGAAAAATACACACTTCCAGGTCAAACCATACGGATAGAAAAAAAAAAAAAAAGAAAGCATTATTATCTGATTCATTCCAGGCCTAATGATGGAGAACTTAAGCTGATTCGGGGAAACGACTCTTGCTCATTCCTATAATCCACTTCTCAATTAAATTGGGATTTCAAAACATTGATTTTTAGGGCTAAAATGTTTCCATTCTGGCAGCAAGCACCCTGTGACTTAACCAAGAATAGGCCCGGCCGGCATAGCTCAGTGGTTGAGCACTGACCTAGGAACCAGGAAGTCCCGGTTCAATTCCCAATCAGGGCACCTGCCCGGGTTGTGAGCTCAATCGCCAGCAGGGGGTGTGATTCTCAATGATTCCCTCTCATCGTTGATGTGTGTGTGTCTCTCTCTCCGTCTCCCTTCCTCTCTGAAATCGATAAAAACATATTTAATCCGAAACTGGTTTGGCTCAGTAGATAGAGCGTCAGTCTGTGGACTGAAAGGTCCCGGGTTCAATTCCAGTCAAGGGCACGTACATTGGTTGCGGGCACATCCCCAGTAGGGGGTGTGCAGGAGGCAGCTGATGGATGATTCTCTCTCATCGATGTTTCTAGTTCTCTATCCCTCTCCCTTCCTCTCTGTAAAAAAAAAACAATAAAATATATATTTAAAAACAAAATGATCACACAACCAAGAATAGTCCTGATAGCTGTCTGATGAGGAAAAAAAAAAAAAAAGAGTCCTGGTCACGGCTCTGTCCTTTGATACCCTGACAAAGCCCACAATCCAAAACCGGGGAGGCTGGGTCTAAGGGTCACCGTTGCCTGGACTCATAGGCATTAAGATCTGAGAGCAGATGAAACCGATGTGGCTCAGTGGATAGAGCGTCGGCCTGCGGACTGTAAGGATCCGGGTTCGATCCGGTCAGGGGCATGTACCTTGGTTGCGGGCACATCCCCAGTAGGGATTGTGCAAGAGGCAGCTGATCGATGATTCTCTCATCGATGTTTCTAACTCTCTATCCCTCTCTCTTCCTCTCTGTAAAAAATCAATAAAAAAAAAAAAAAATAAAAAAAGCTCAAAGAATAGGCCGGATTAGAGAGTTGACTGTCAGCAGGCGTGGCCAGCGTGTGTGACGTTGTGGCCAGTGAGGCAGAGAGCAGCCACAGGCCGGCTGACCGGCTTCCCCGGGCCAGGAGGCGAGACCGGCCCCTCCTTGCTCCAGCGCACAGGCGTCCGGCACTTAAGCCTCTTACCTCTGCGTCAGCGCGATCTTCAGCTTGTTGTTCTCGGACTTGAGGTGGGTTTCCACGGGGCCCGCGTGCGATGCCTTTTCGTCGTCTGTCCCGTTGACACTGGAGGCCTGCGCAGGAGACGGGGTTTCACACCCAGACCCCTGGCCAAAGCGAATTCCCTAGCACATCCCTGCGGGGCCTTCCGGGACAGCCAGTCGGGCGTAACGGGACACCGTTTCTGAGGGTGGGAGCCGCGCATCCGACCCACTCGCAGCAGCAACGGATAAGTCAGGGGCCGTCAAGAACCAAGGACAAGCGGAACCGGTGTGGCTCAGTGGATAGAGCGTCGGCCGGCGGACTCAAGGGTCCCCGGGTTCGATTCCGGTCAAGGGCATGGACCTTGGTTGCGGGCACATCCCCAGTGGGGGGTGTGCAGGAGGCAGCTGATCGATGTTTTTCGCTCATCGATGTTTCTAACTCTCTATCCCTCTCCCTTCCTTCTCTGTAAGAAATCAATAAAAACAAACAAATAAACAAAAAAAACAAGGACAAGGCCCAGGAAGCCCCACAGTGAGCTCAGAGTCTGTGCACTTCACAGACCAGAGAGCACCTGGGGCCGCTATTCTGGGCCATTTTATTTTTTATTTTTTTTTAAAATGTAATTTATTGATTTTTTTTTTTTTTTTTTTTTACAGAGAGGAAGGGAAGGGATAGAGATTAGAAACATCGATGAGAGAGAATCATCGATCAGCTGCCTCCTGCACACCCCCCACCGAGATGTGCCCGCAACCAAGGTCCATGCCCTTGACCAGAATCGAACCTGAAACCCTTCAGTCTGCAGGCCGACGCTCTATCCACTGAGCCACACTGTTTTGGCTATTCTGGGCCACTTTACTCTTACTCTGCAGATAAACCTAACACGCCTAGATACCTGGTCTCCTTAAATAACACCGACAGAAGCCACTAATTAAAAGAGGAGGAACGATTTATAGCGAGGAGAGAAAAAAAAACAGTTACAAGCCGAGACAGCTTAAGCATCCTGGGGCTGCAAGAGAAGATCCACACTCATTAAAGCAACGGGGACCGGCTCCGGCTGGCTGCGGTCTCCATGACTATTTAGCGTGTTATGAATATTCTGAGATGTTTTCTGTGATAACTCATCCCACATGGTGGTGAAATCTCATCTGCTCTTGAATAAGATCTCAGCAAGCTCTTATTTAGCTCCCAATATGCATAATGGCAAAGGAAGGAGCCATGGCGGGAAGGATGTATAAATCTGAGCTAACTTTACATTCCTACCTTGCAAAAAAAAAAAAAAATGCCATAAACAAAATTAAAAGGCAAATAAAAGCGTGGGAGCCTGGCAAGTGTGGCTCAGTGGTTGAGCATCAACCTGTTGACCTAGATCAGGAGGTCGAGGTTCGATTCCCGGTCAGGGGCACATGCCCGGGTGAGGACTCAATCCCCAGTGGGGGACGTGCAAGAAGCAGCCGATCAATGATTCTTATCATTGATGTTTCTATCTCTTTCTCCCTTTTTCTCTCAAAACAATAAAAATATATTAAAAACAAAACCGCGGGGAAATATCTGCTGTTAAATGTTTGCAGATACTAAAGGCAAAATGTTAATACCGTCAAGCCGGGGGTGTCAGTCTTGACTGCTCCAGGTGCCCAAGCTTCCTGGTTTCCCCCCCACCCTGACTAGCTGTCTCTGACATTTATCCTTCCTCTTTACCTTGTATCTGCCCTGCCAGGCCATCCTCCACCCCACAGCCTCCTTGAGACCCTCTGTGGCACCCTGACTTCCTTACCACTCACTGGTGACCCTCATGCAAATTCCAGATCAACAGTCATAAAACACTTCCGATGTCTGCCAACCTCTCAATAATAAATAATCTACTAATAATAAAAGCGTAATATGCTAGTTAGACGGGACAGCTGAATGACCTTCCGGACATCATTCTGGATGTTCTTCTGGATGAAGCTGTGGCAGTGGGGGCTGAGGAAGAGGTGGTTAGGGGAGATCATGCAGGCAGGCAAGTGGTTAGGGGTGATCAGGCAGGCAGGCAAGTGGTTAGGGGCGATGAGGCAAGCAGGCAGAGTGGTTAGGGGCAATCAAGCAGGCAGGCAAGTGTTGTAGGGGCGATTAGGCAGGCGGGCAGGCAGAGTGACTAGGGGTGATCAGGAAGGCAGGCAGGTGAGCAGTTAGGAGCCAGTGGTCCGGACTACGAGAGGGTGCAGACTGGGCTGAGGGACCCACCCACTGTGCACAAATTTCGTGCACTGGCCTCTAGTTAAATTAACAATAAACTATCTGCTCGTGAAGAATTCCAGGTCTTTTCCAGTATCTGCAAGTGCATGGCTGTCCCTCCCACAGGGCACCTCACTGCCAGCCCCACTGTGCCCTGGCCGTCTTGCTGTTACACCTATTTAATCCCAAACCCACATCTTTGTTCCTAATGTTGCCTTTCCCTGTCTCCCTCCAGACAACCTTGTCACTGGATCAAGCCTTCCGTCCACCGCGACATACACCAATCTAGACATCAGGAATGCAGGCATTTTTTATCTCGGGTCACAAGTTTCCTCTCTCTCTTGTTGTTGTTAGTCCTCAGCTGAGGACATTTTTTTTGTTGATTTCCAGAGAGAGAGTGTAC